GTCATCAATTTCGAACGAAAAAAATATGCGGTCATTAAAAAAAAAATTATGTCATCGCTGCCGTAAGTGGATTATCGAAAAAAAAATTTTTCCACATAACAAGGTGCCCTGGATCAAATAAAAATCGACGGGTCTCACCGTTTTTCGAAAAAAAAATTGTTTAACGAAAATATGAATTTTATGCAGAACTTTTTTACCACGCTGTATATATTATAATACTATAAATAATTATTAAATTTTGTGTTATATTGATGATAATTTAATTGTGTTTGATATTTGTAATGAAATGAAAAATTTAATGTTATAGCCAATTTATAGTATTATAAAGATCAAGTTTATATGTGAAATGTATTAAATTGTTTAAATTTTGATTTTTTTTATAGTATTCTTAAAATCTATAAAAATTATATTCTATACTTACCCCAAACAACCTCTTTTAATATCACACTTAATTTTGATTTTTAGTCTTTAAAGATAACGTTATTTTTTATATATTTTTTTTTAATTATTCTCAAACCATAATTGAATGATAAAAAAAAATTTTATCGAGCACTTGAAATCTCAGTAGTTGGTTCGAAAGCTATTGAAATTTATTAAAAAAAAATATTAGGTATTTAAATGTGTTTGTTTAAAAAAAAATAGGAATGCTTAATTGAGTTTGAACTTTGTGTATTATCCCAACAGTTAACAATTTATAACAATCTTTCCTAGGTCCCTATCTACACTAAGATAACTAAATTCTAATTCCTTATTCTATACAATTTTTGGTTATGATTACCTATCCTACACTTTGTCTATTTGTCTGCGTTTTCTTAGTCGTGATGTCCTTTCTGTCTCCTCCTTCCTGTAACCTATCCTTCCTTTCCGTTTTTGAACTCTCCTCCAATTTGTCTTTTCTTTATTCTATTTGCTACTGTCCTCCTTAGATTGCTACTGTTTGCGTCACCTCTCCTGGCCTTTCCTTTTCTATTTGTCTACGACAATGAAAATAATATTCTAATTATCTGACAGTATTGTAATTTTCTTGGTTTATCTGTTAGTTTCGATTTAAACCAACTTTCCTTTATGCCAAATAAATTATTTCATATTTCTTGACTCTTCCTGGTTGCTTCTTTCTTATTTGTTTTTAACTGTCCCACACTGTCGCTGTGCTGAATGCTTTTCTCTGCCACTCTTCCTCTCTTCAATACTTGCTCTTTTCTTGTTATTTTATGGGATTCCTTTTTTAATCTTCAGTAATTTTTTTCAATTCTTTTGATTTTCAACTTATTTTAATGGCTCCAATTTTAATATCTTCCAATTTGACTTTTCCTTTCTTAATTCTCCTCTCACTATTTATTTTCTCTACATAACCACTTTTTTCTATTTCCTTTCACCGCACTCTTATCTCTATTTACAATAATTTTGGATATATCGTATTCAATATCAACCGATCATATACCTTTATTAATTTATACAATTTTACTTTACCAAATTTAATACCTTTTAATTCCTTTTTTTAACTACATTGATTTCTTTTATAGACACTTTTAATTCCTCTATACAGAGATTTCATTCTACTTTTACTATTATATTAGATTGTTAAATTTCATCTCGCTGTCAACTAAATCATCTTTACTAACTTGTCACCATCTATCTAACATGTCATTATTTATTGTATTTCAATTTCTACTTGTTACAATATATCATCAATTTGACTCTTATTACATCCGGCCAACGTTCGTTATTCTTTCGCATGCTGTCTATACGCTACGTGTCCACAATTTTTGCTAACACTACAATTATAAAGGAAATAATATATCAGGTTACAGTTTATACTAAAAAGCAGGTCTGAACCTGTAGAAAACAGGTCTTAAATTGAGGTGACCTTGACCCAGGTGACCTTGACCCCATACAACCAGATGTCGATGACCTTGACATGACCCTGGCCCCCGACAACCAGAGGACGATGATCTTGACATGACCTCGACCCCAGACGACCAGAGGTCGATGACCTTGACCCAGGCGGCCAGAGATTGATGACCTTGACCCCAGACGAACAGAGGTCGATGACCTTGACTCCAGATGACCAGAGGTCGATGACTTGTGTCAAGGTCATCGACATCGAGGTCATGTCAAGCCTCTACCCCAGGCGACCAGAGGTCGATGACCTTGACCCCAGACGACCAGAGGTCGATTACCTCGACCCAGACGGGAAGAGATCGATGACCTTGACCCCAGACGACCAGAGATCGATGACCTTGATCCCAGACGACCAGAGGTCGATGACCTTGACCCCAGGCTACCGGAGGTCGATAACCTTGACATGACCTTGAGGTGACCTCGACACCAGACGACCAGAGTTCCATGATCTTGACATGACCTTGGCCTAGAATGATGCAATACCGAATAAGAATGACGCAATGCTGTTAAAGGAAATAATATATCAGGTTAAAGTTTATGCTAGCGTGGCAGTATTAAAGGAAATAGACTATCAAGTTGCAATTTTTGCTAACACTGCAATTATAAAGGAAATAAAATATCAGGCTACAGTTTATGCTAAAAACAGGCCTGAACCAGTAGAAAACAGGTCTGAACCAGTAGAAAACAGGTCTGAACCTACAGAAACTTGATCTCGAATGATGCAATACCAGATAAGAATGACGCAATGCTGTTTGGAGGTCATTGACCTCCCCTTATCGTGATTGAATTTTAAATTTACCACCAACTGGCCATGTGACGTCACTTCCATGCCGCCATGACACTTCTTGCATGCCACTATCCAGCTCAAGAACTCTTCACGGTCACCCCAGAAGCCAATGACCACAAGGTGGACCTTCAAGCTCGATGGACGCTGACCATGTGGTGACCTTGACAAGACCTTGACCCCATGTGACCTTGGCATGACCTTGACCCCAGGTAACCTTGCCACGTCACCTCCTGGTCCAGAACCGGCTATCTACTGGTACAGTACATTAAATTAATTTCTAAAGGAACTGTTGTACCTATCTCATACTGCACCTTTGTAAATCAACATAAACTCAGTATTATATTGAAATAGTGGCGTTTTATTAGTGCTAAGTCCATGCCCATGACAAAATTTATTTTTCTATAAGAAACCGTATTTAAGAGAAGTTTAAAAAATCACGATTTTATACACCTTCATTCCATAAAATATATTTTCCATCATTTCATGAAAGTATAACAAGAAATCTCTTAATTTTAAATTTGTATTAAAGATTTAGTAAACAAAACAAATAAAGTTTAATATTTATTATACCTACTTTTATTTCCAATAAAAAACTTTTCTTGCAAGTAATATAAACCAAAAAAAATTTTATAATATCTCATAAAATAAATGTTTAATTAGATTTTATTTATAAGAAAGTATAAAACACATAATTATTCTAATTGTAATGTGTAAGCCTTAATAATAGCCATCCCAAGATCCAACAACTGGATATATTCTGAACTGCTATCTTGTAGACGATAACCAACTACCTGGAAATTAGAGGATAGTAAACAAAGAAATAGTAAATGTACAAACTTACTCCAATTTTCTCCCCTATAATAGCTTTCTGGGAGTCATTTAATTCTTCAGTAACAAGTATTTCATTGAGCTGCTCGAGAATCTGAAAAAAATAATTGAAATATCTTGCAATATATACATATACAGGGTGTCCCATAATTAGTGTGCAAAAATAAGACTAATTTTTCCTATAAACAAGGGTCGAAAAATGTTTCCTAAGGGAACTACACCCCCCTAAATGGGACTTCAGATCATATTTTTTCAAATATTTCCAAAACCAGTTAACTTATCATTATGAATTTTGGTATGTTGGACACTCAGTGAATGTTCTAACGAACTGCATGAAAACTGTTTCAAAATTTTAGTCAGGGATGTCTCAGGCAGGGGGGCTCACGGGTAAAATGTGCATGTCAATATTTTCAAATTTAGACAAAACTATGATAGATATGTGTTTCTTGATTTACTTCGATAAAATGGTTCGTTTTCGGGAAAAATCGATTTTAAAGTTTTATTACATAATCTCAAGAATGGAAAAGGATTACATGAAAGCTGTCCTATCAAGGTGAGGTCCTATAAGCACACCGTACCGTGGTGGAGTAAGGAACTCACACTGTTAAGGAGGCAGGCAAGGAAACTAATAGAGCAAAGCGGACAGGAGAGTGAGAGGCTTATAAAACAACCCTCACTGAGTATAATAAAGAAATTAGAAAAGCGAAGAGAGAATGATGGAGGAAGTTTTATGAGGACATTGATAGTGTCCCACAGTGTGCCAAACTCCAGAAACTTCTCTCTAAGAACAGTAATTCGAAACTTGGGGCTCTTAAGACGAGAGCGAATGGAGAACATACCAAAACTGGAGGGGAGACATTGAAGTTACTTCTAAATACTCACTTTCCAGGCTCCAGGTTATTAAACCACGGAGATGAACATAACTGGGAGGTTGCCAAGATGGTGGTGAGCCAGTCACGAATAAGATGGGCAATAAGTTCCTTTGACCCATTTAAATCGCCAGGAGCTGATGTAATTCTAACCGTACTGTTACAACAGGGGGTGGACTGTCTAACTCCTGTCTTAAATCACATATTCAGAACCAGCATTGCACTTGGTTATATACCACTAACATGGAGATCGACGAACGTGGCGTTTATTCCTAAACCATGGCGTTGATCATACGCCCAGGCAAAGGCATATCGCCCGATAAGTTTAACATCTTTCCTCCTGAAAACGTTGGAGAGAATAGTTGATAGGCATATAAAGAAAGAGGTGTTAAGGGCAAATCCTCTACACAGGTATAGTTCTTCCGAAGTCAGTTGAACATGCAAAAAAAAACGAGCAATCAAATTTAATGAGTTTCATGGGCGTTCCTAAAAAAGTTTTCTCCTAAAGGTAGAATATTATAATAATTTATATATAATGTGTAGAAAATTTCTATAATATGTTTATTTGACCAACAACATATTTTAATTATTTAATTCCCCAAACAATTTTATTTTGTTTATTTTGTTCCCTTTCAAAAGGTCTACAAAATGCCATGTTGTAATGATATTACTAAACCAAATATCCCTCTTATTTTTCCCTTTCGCAATTGTAATATGAATGATTAATAGAAGGGTGCCTATAATAAATTATCTGAATCACACCAAATTCCGCATATCCGCACTGCACTGCTAGGCGACTAGTCGACAACTGAATTTTGACAACGCAATGGACCAGAGAAACAGTGCGCATTGCTCTTTGCCCGCACGCTCATTCTTCAACTGAGCGTATACATTTCTACCACCTGCAGTTTTCGTTCGACCAGATCTGTATATGGGTATGGATAAATAAATGTGGGAACAAGTTTTTCAAATATTTCAATGCCGAGTTGCTGCTTAGCGACTGGGCCTGGTACATACCTTGAAGATATTGGTTCTTCAATTGACTTCGGAAAAACTATACCAACATGCCTATCGGGCAGGCAGATCACTCGACACAGCCCTTCATAAACTAGTTTCTAGAATCTTTCAAATGTAAACATAAAACTATGATAGAAATGGGTTTTTACAAAAAAAATGGACTCTAGATTTACTTCTATAAAATGCTTCGTTTTCGAAAAATATCTATTTACATTTAGAGGTTATATCTCATGTCCATCTTCTTCACCTCAAACTACAAATTTAGAAACCGTTCTTGCATCGTTTAAATCACAAACCGTTTGTAGACTGTTGACATCCGTGCATGCATATTAGAAATAGTTTGCAAACTATCAGTAATTTACTACAGAAACAAAATCCTGTGTTGGAAATTATTACGCCGAACTACCTTCGGATTATCATTAGCCCAATAGTGGATATTGTGAAAATTAAGAGCTCCATTTCTGGTGAAAGTCGCCTCCTCGGTCCAGAGAATTAACATAAGCTTATTTCATTATGAATGATCCACTGAGAAAATTCGATCCTACGCATAAAGTCTTCATTTTTTACGTCTTGTAGCCTCTAATAATAATGAGGATAAAGGCCTTGGATAGTGACCATTCGTGAAAGCTAAAATGAGAGCTTTGGACTAGTTTTAATACACGTTTCTTATATTTCTCATCATGTACTATTGTTCGTGGAATATTAGTGGTTTTTGACACTGTGCGGATGCTGATATTAGGATGATCATCAAATTGATTTAAGGCATTTCCAAAATTATAATCATTTGGTGGCCTTCCTTGACCGCGCAATTTTTTAAAAGATCCATTTTCCGTTAATCGTCTATGGACCGTAGAAAATATTCTACGTCCAGGTTGCCTCCGATCGGGTATCGCCGTTAGTTATTCCCTTTGTGGCGCTTGTGCTCTCCCATTACAAAATCCATACACAAAATGAATGTCTGCTTATTGTTTTCTTTAGATTAATACAGCACCAGAGAACACTATATCAACGAGAAGCGACAGCAAGGCTTTCTGCGTTAACAGTTTTCGTATGCGCATGCGCGAATTGGGTTGTGTTGTTGTCAGTTGTCAGTGGCTGTCAGCCGTCAAATATAAATAGAAGAAACGAGTAATAGTTTATTGGCGGTGGACAGTTGTGTTGTATAATGTTAATTGTTAGTGGATTTATTTGTATTGCATTTCGTTTCCATCTACTATTAGAATCAACTTGAAATCAATAAAATGCATGGTTATTATTGTGCTTTTTGCGATTGTTCATCCAAAACTAGTGAAGAATCAACCCTTTTGAGATTACGTAAGGAGTAGAAAGGTTATTATTATTATTTTAAGTACCTACCTATAAAATGTAAATCAGAAAAAGTATTTTGATTTTTAAAATAATGTGATATGTTTTCTTGTAATATGGTATTGCATAAGTATAGAGAATATCTTTAGGAGAATTTTTATTTTTGTTTGTAGTGTTCGAGTGTGAATATTATTGCCTAGGATTGTGGATGTATATAAGAATTACAGGCTTTGTGAACACCATTTCGAAACCAAATATATTGGTAAAGGGAATGTAAGAATAACCTTATTGCCAAACGGAATACCTATACAGTTTCCTCAACTTATAAATGGGCAAGAAGAGCTAGAGGCAAAAATTGTGGAAGATTATCCCAAAGAAGTTATTGCATTGTCAGGTACCTATTTTTAAAAAACTATTTCAAATATTGCAGAACAATATTATATCTGTTTAATAAAAATATTAGTTGTAAAACATCTTGTTTTATTTTTTTTATATATTATACCTAATTTATCTACATTTTACCACAGTTATCCTTATATTATATGAATAATGTTTGATACTGATGCAGTTCGTTCAGTGTACATCTATTCAAAAGTGTAACTTCTCTCAGTGTAAACGATTGTGTTTCCGTCAAATCGGTCGACTCTAGCGTGACCACAAAACATCAAAGGAACCGCCGATTCTGTCGCTTCTCGTTGGATATAGTGTTCTCTGACAGCACCGTAAAGTGAAAGCAAAAATTTGAGTTTAATAATAATCTGTCAAATTAATTCAAGTAAACAAACGTTTGTTTTCACGGCCTAGCTATTCATGTAATCCTTTTAGTCAGGGCGTATTAGGTTTTTTCAAATATCGGGCCTACGTCGAATTTTATGGGCTTAAAATTAAGTAAAAACAGAGATTAAAAGCCTAAATTTGTGTATTTGTAGAGGTCGAGCGTCATATTGTTTATAACAACAGAAAAAAAATTGGTCTTTTGCCCAATTTCAAAAGCGGCCTATTGCAAAATTATACAGCCGAAAACGCGAGCACGTATATCTTCTGCCCAGGTCAAGATATTGAAATTCGGCAAAAAAGGATCGAAAGGTCCGTGTCCGCGTCACATTATCTCGCGTGTGGGTAAATTTCAGATTTTTAAGATGCAAAATAAAAGTTATTAACAAAAAACCAAAAAAAAAAACGTAACTAAAAACCTTTCTCGGCGATTTTTTAATATATCGCATAGCTTTATTTACTGTTTTTTTTTGGTTTTTTTATTTATAATTCTTTTATTTTGCAATTTAAAAATATGAAATTTACACAAACGCGAGATAATGTAATTACCTTTTGATCCCTTTTTTTTTACCAAATTTCGATACCGTGACTTGGGCAGAAGATATACGCGCTCGCGTTTTCGACTTTATAATTTTGCAATAGGCTGCCTTTTTGAAATTGGGGGTCCAGATTGCGGGTATTTGTTGAGCACACCAACAGTTATCTTTTCCAGTAGTTTCATCCAAGTTCAGTCAAATTCGTTCTTTTTATTTAATGCTGAAAATTTTGCATATTTTTTTTGCCGCTAATTTTGCACTGTAAGAAAATGTTGCGAGCTTTCGCAAAAGTCTTGTAGCAAATTTCTTCAGGAACAAAATCGATAAGTATACCTCATGTCGATTAGAAGCTTATTTTCGGAGATATAAGCGAAAAACTGAGAGCAATTTTTTTCTTTTGTTATAAACAATATGACGCTCGACCTGTACAAAGGCTTTTAATCTGTGCATTTTTTACTTAATTTGAAGCTCATAAAATTCGACGTAGGCCCGATTTTTTAAACAGGCATGTGTTTGGTCTAATTCGCCAAGATTATTTTCCATTTTTGAGATTATGTAATAAAACTTTAAAATCGATTTATCTCGAAAAAGAA